GAACTGAATGGTTCAATATGCCGGACGAACTTATTAACTCGTTATGAAGAAGTTCTAACTGGTCATTCCGGTCGCACAAGCTTCATTGTCAACCATGAACCATTCCGCACAATTTGCCGTCGTTTAATGAATCTTTATCCAAACTATATAGCGGGTAAACAAATCGCGATATTACCGAATGACCATAACAAAGTCATGATACCAGTAGCTAATGCCTATGAACTGAAGGATGTCATGACTCGTAGTAATGGCATACGTAACTCAAAGGCTTCCTTTCTGCCGCTCACAACCAACGACAATGATCGTCAGAAAAAATTACTCGACCCACCAGTTCAATTCCTACCCTGCTGTTGCTCTTGCATCACAGGCAAATGCTCAGAAATGGACAGCCGAACGGTTAAAATGGCATTGGCAGTTATTGATCAAAAGACAACTGCCCACCGGGACAGACAACGTTTGCAGAATACAGAAAGGCGCCTACAAAATATTGAGCAGAAACTGGAAAAAATGTTCGAATTGCTGCAGGACATACAAGCAAAATAGACTTAAATTTTGAACTGTAAATTGTATTTTTTACTCATAAAAAATATATAAATTTCAATATAGTGTGAGTTATAATTTTATTTAATTTTATTTATATTTTTAACAACAATACACATAAATAACATTAATATTTGCATATTTTTTTAAAACAGTATATATTTATATTTTAGGCTAAGTTTTAAGTTAAAAATGAAAAACTGCATGTAAAGTTATTTAATAAAAACTTAATTAATTGTATATAATATATTTTAAAAATTATTCTACAAGAAAAATATTTAAAATATCAATAAAAAAAATTTTTTTAGAAAACTGACTTTAAATTATTTCTAATCATATAGCATTTATCTCTTCCTTAAAATTTCACTGACGTTATTAATGGAGTTTTTCTATTTTCGTTGAATAGATTACATATTTTAATTTTTTTTTAATTAATTTGTACATTAAAACAAAGCAAAATATTAGTAATATTAGAAATTGAAGAGCAGACGAGCTAGCCAGAAAGGGTGGTTCAGTACCACTCTCGGAACACTTAAATAATCTGAGCATATCGCTAACATCATGCAAATTGTTACTGAGTTCTTTCCGTACTGAAATTTTGAATAAAAATGGAAAAAGTCAACGATATACAGGCATCTGTATGCAATCTGGTCACGTTTCGATAAAAAGAAATCCAAAATTCTCATTGAGATAGATTTACTTACAGGTCACTGTAAACTAGGAATCATCATGCAACTAGGGAATCACTTTTAATCAAATCTGTCGCAGCTGTGGGGAAGATGATGAGAGTGCCTATGTCTACTATGTTTTTGCCCAGCTCATGCACGGCGGTGACTTAATACTTTAGAAGGACCTGAGTGGGCCAATAGGCAGTAGTGGATCCACTAGGGATCGCCGGGATAACCTAACCCAACCTAAGTGTTGGAAAAATAAGTAAATAAAAAAAAATTCAATAAATGGGATCTGAAATTGTTAGAAAATAAATTTTTTTAATATGTTACAATATATTAAATTTTTTGTATTAATTTTATTAAATTATAAATAAATTATAAATTATATATATAAAGTATGTAATATAATATATAATAGTTTATAAAATAAACTAAAAAATTAAATACCTTAAAACAAAATTCAACCTAAATAACTCAAAAAAGCTGAATTGTACTTAAGTAGATAATTTTTCTTTTGTTATTTATGCTTGTATTCGACACTTTCAAATTATTTAAATATTTTGTTATAATTATTATAATTATCCGGATACTCGGATTTCTTTTTTGAATAGATCAACTACTGAAAAAATGTTTTTCGAGCTTTAGAAAAGCTACTAACCAATATGGATGCATCTATTCAACAAATAGTTGGAATATAAATGAGGTTACGTTACGCTATACACTGTTTCCTTGTTTCTATGTTTAAATAAGAAATATATGTTTCTAATTAATCTTTAATTGAAATATAATAATATAATATAATAATATTTATTTATAAAATACAGAAATCTTACAGAACAACTTATTCAGCCTTTAGATTATTAATCTTTGATAAGGAAGTAACCTGCGCTTACCTTTCAAATTTATACTTTTAATACAGTAGATCAAAAGGATAGCTATATGGGGAGTTGGTTGTACGTAAAAATGCCCAAATTACGCCCGATAGTGTAATGAGCACCACCCTTCTCTCTTTCATCTTGTTAATTGGTAAAGTAGATAAATAAATTTTGGATGTAGATCTTCCTGAACTATTTTATTGGTATAACAGTTTTGCACACTCTCCAGTTTATTAAAATAATTTACAAAAAATAAATTACAATTACAAAATTATTGCTTAACACCTTTCCCCCTCTGATTTATTTTCTGACTACAACAACTTTGCAGTACATATTATATACAAATGACATACTTACAAGATAAACAAGTTAATTTTATAAAAGCTATTTACAGTTTAAATTTTATTTTATTAGTTTGTTTTTTAATTGTATTGAATATTATTTTTTTTTTAATTTATTTAACTAGTTCTTAAAAATGTACTCAATATTCTCTGCATACTCTATATATATTGCGAAAGCGTTTATTTTAGATTGAATCATGTGACTTTATATTTTTTTATTTATTTTACCTATTATATGAAACTATTTCAGCAATCAAATACTTTGTCAAAATTTTACAATTAATTAGTTAATTTTAATTTGAAATTAAAGTAAATTTAATTTGAATTTAATTTAAAATAAACTGCATAATAAATCTGTCGGAAATAGTTTTACCACATTTTTTTTAATTTGTGATATGAAGGAATCAATTACAATGTATACAAATAATATACTTATAAAACATAAAAATAAATGAAGTCAACAAAAACTAAATATTATCTTTTCTTCATATATATACATAAATATTCAAGAAAATATAAAATATAATATTCAACTTGTTTATAAGTTTAATGCTTAGATACAATTCCATTAAGTTTGAAAAAAAAATTTTAAAAAAATATTTACATTCATTTCAGGTTTTGTATATATTTGAATATAATAAAAACAATTAATAATTTTAGGTATAATTTAGAAAAAATATCACTTAAATTTTTTTTTAATGAACAATGCTTGTCTAATGCTTAAAATATCGCTTAAATTTCCACAAGTCTTATCTCTAAAATACTTATACATGCTTAAGTACAAAAATGTAATTCAGATCTTAATAATTAAATTAAAGCAATAATTATTATTTATGTAATAATATCGCCTTTCTTATAACAATCAATAATAATAAAATATCATTATAGTCGCCAACTACTGTTTCAAGTACCCAGATATATCTAAGGTTTCTTTAGGTCATCGTGCATGAATGTCGTTGCATTCTATATGTTCTGTGTGACGGACTCTTACTG